TAAAAGGGTCTTCCAATCTTTTCTTTCACTTTGTCTATAGGCTTTCCACTTCTAAATAAAGCGAAGCACATATGATTCTATATTCCACTTCTTATATTTCTATTTTAAAAGTATTACGTCAAAACACAATATCATGTTCACTGTACTAGTAGGATCGTTAACTCATATCCCATTATCCAAACCCAAGATCAAAAAAACTATGCATTGCAGCTCACTAGACCTCAGATGAGGGGGTTGTGTTAGTTTTCTTTTTCTTCAGACTTTTAACCTTTATATTCACCAGGTGATCCCGCCACAAATACACTTCCTGTCCTAGGGTGACCATGCTCACTCACCATTTTGTATATATGAAAGATCACCATTGTCACACTAGGACAGGAAGTGTGCTAGGATTATAGAACACCCCCTCCTCATCACCATAATATAGGGGAAGGTGTTCTGTAGTCCAGAGCTGAACTGGGCAGGGCTACTAACGATACTCAAGTACAGAGTATTAAGATATTAAGAAAAGGCTGCATAGTGTACAGGACAGAACTGAATTTCTGGCAGGATGAACATGATTTTTTTTTTAATTGTACTTATTGAACAGATAACAAAACACATTTAATGGTATTTTTAAGAGACCAAATACGAGAAGTGAATTGTTAAGAGTTTATATGCACTTTAATATGTCCTCATGCAAAACCTGAATCTGATCATTTAGTCCCAAAAGGTTCCAGTTGCTCCATAGTATATGCCCTCATTCATAGGCCCATCCTAACCCTAAGGTGCTTACAACAGCATTTAGGTTTAAGGGCTTGTTTCCACCAGCAATGTCTACCGTCTACCGCAATGTCCCTTGCCCGGAACGCAAGGGATCGCATACATAAAAGTCTCCTTGCATTCTGGGGAGTGGGCAGTGGCATTCAAGTCTATGGCACTACAGACATGCCGCCCCCACCCCCGCAGTGCGATTGGCCACACAGGAACACATGGTAATAAAATGCTCTGCAGTGCGATTGCAAAAAGTAGTGCATGTACGAGCTGGTGGAAAGAAGCCCCAACTCCCAGTTATTATTATTACATAGTATTTATATAGCGCCAACAGTTTGCGCAGCGCTTTACAATAAAAGGAAGACATTACAATCACAATTCAAGACAAGATGGTAAGAAGGGCCCTGCCCCTGAGGGCTTACAATCTAAAAGAGGAGGGGGAAATGATACGAGGAGGTAGCTGTGTGGGGATGAATTATTTGAGAATGTGAAGGTTCAGTGGTTAGGTCGAGGTGGGATAGGCTTCCTTGAAGAGATGAGTCTTTCGGGAACGCCTAATAGGATAAGTTGTGTAAAATTCAAGGAGAAGTATTTTTCAGCAGGGTCCCAATACATTGTATAAGAGGAGTATTAATAGTCTCAATGACCCCAGTTGCGGGACAGTTTCTCAGTGTTGCAGCTGGAAGCTCAGTCATCTTTGTAGCATACTTGTACGAACATCGTGCTTGTCCCACTCGTGATGTCACTCGTTGCTATGAGATAGAATTCCATCGCACTCCTGACCGGAAAGTCCCAATAAACAGGGTGGGTGCAGCAGTGACAGCAGATGCCTCCGCAAATCTCATGAAACCAGTCACTGGCACTTCAAAGCGATGCCAAGTCAATCTCTTTATTGACTATGGTAGTGTAACATCTCAAAGCAACGTTTCGGAACCCAGTGGTCCCTTCTTCAGGTAAACAGAAATGAGACACACCTTTACTTTGTCAAAGTTCGACAGAGATTCCAGTCTTTCTTAAGGAGGTACATGCTGGAAATTTAGACGTACTGAAAGAGTAAAATATACTCTTCCCAATACTTTGAGTGGGACACTGCAGCTGTCACACACCGCCTCTATACCATGAGTTGGGTGATGATGTAACTGCTGATGGCTCAACCTAGCAGCTTCTCCCTGCAGAGAGCTGTCACCACTCCCTGCCGAAATCCCACCCCCCTCCCGGTGCTCACAAGAGGGACAGACGTGTAGGGGGTGGGCACAGTTGGCTTTGGCTCTAGAGAGGCATAACCAGCTGTCAATCAAGCAGCGGGGTGGATCCTAACAGTATTGTTGGGATTCTTTCTGGCTGCAGCGTACCTCCGCTGTGAGCATATAAGAGGCAGTAGCCGTCTGTATGCTGACATGGGGTCACAGGAGTACATTAGTAAGTGTACTCCAGAGACCCAACAGAGAAATGAAGCCAAATAGGTTTGACTTTACGTCTCTATTAAAGTAGAACTAAAACCACCACAAAAAAGTTTGTTTTGCATCGCTGTATTAAACTTTTTTTTAAATAACCTTATAATTCCTTATTAACTCTGTGTATGACCTCCTCACTTCCTCTGGTCACTTTGTCAACCTGGGCCAAATGTCAAAGACAAGGATACAAGTCTCATGTTTCAGATAAGGCCAGGTTATCCTGGACTGTCTGTCCCAGGTTGCTTGTGTTTCCCGGTTGCAGGAGCTTCCTGCCGACAGTCATCAAGGTATACGCACTGGCGTGCTGTGCATTGCCATGTCAGTCGGTAGTAGTAGGGCACATTAGGGTAACAACGCTGCTTGCTCAGGGATCTGTTGAGGGAGCACTGTAACTCTAGGTCAGGAACATGTGGAGGGAGTTCATTACTGGCAGGATCATTAAACAGAAAAATGGGCACTGAATACACCGTTTAATGCAGAGTCATTTTGTATCATATAGTGGATTTGAGATCTACAATCTCGAACTCCGGGGTTTGCACATTTGGCGATGCTATTATATTGGGTTCGAACTCTCTACCTGTTGATTTTTTAATTCTAATTTTATGTAGAATGAAACAGTTGATGTTAGAATACACAAAGACTAGTGGGAGCACCAAAAAGTACACCATGGGCAGGAATGGAGCCAGTTAGCATGTAGATCTGGTTGAGAATGAATAATTGGATTGGCTCTCCAGGTTACTGAACAGATTTCAGCTTTATTAAAGACCACACTGTCCGTCCTGTGCACACAAAAGCATCCGTTACAAAACAAGCTGCTGTTTGTATTTGAAAGTTTATTATATAAATGTCTCCTTTTTTTTATTTTTTTAAGAGGATTACAAAACTGATTAAGAGAAATGTACAAGCAATGATTACCTTTAGGAATTGATCATACTGGATACATGTTAGTATTAAGAGTTACATTTGTTTCAAGGTAGGCGATAGGAGAATCTTTCCATAGTACTATAACAGTTTCATTCTAGTTTACTGCAATGGAAGCATCTTTAAGCATCTTCCAGGTATTGAAGGCTGGGCACACAGGGCGATTCATAATTACACTTCAAGTATGATAAAGTTACTGACATGCCATGCGAAATCTAATAAAAAGAAAGATTGTACATAACTGTAGAAAAATATTCTCTATGATTTGTCTTTTTAAAAAAAAAAAAAAGTTAAACAGCCCCTCCCCTCCAGAAGTACAATGACTGCAAAATAATTACATCCCTTTGTGTACAATGTCCCTTTAGTTGGACTCAAAGTTGCGCCATAAAGCTAATGTACATCATTTTCACACAAGAAAAGTAATTCGTTATCTGCCACAGCTTATCTACAAGTAACATCCCTCAACACTTTCCCCTTCTAGTGATCATTCTAGAGAACATTATTACATGGCATAAAATGCAAAAAGAAAATCAGACTTGTTTCATAAAAAAACAAAACAGAAAAACGTTACATTAAGGAAAATAATCATCATCATCTTTGACTTTTGATTCAGCTTTGATTAAGCAGCACTGAAACTGGAAAACGTATGATCATCAACACCCCGGGGATTCATTTAAAGTGGTATAGTGAGGAGGAAATGGGAAGAAAAAAGGAAAGAGATTTCACCAACAGGTAGCACTACAAGTGAAAAAGATGGCTGCCTCAAGAACATACTAGAGAAGCAACAAGGGGAAAGCAAACTCTGGCCCTCCATCTGTGGTAAAACAACAAAGCCCATCATGCATCTGTCTCTGGGAGTCAGGCCGTTGTCTATCAGAGTCTGGCGATGCCTAATGGGATTTGAGTTTGCTCTAAGGGGTTAACCATACAAAAAGAACTGCAACAAAATGGGATTTGGAGTTTCAGAAACCTCTTTAATTTGGGTCTATATGCACCTTTAAGCCAACAGCCTTGCCAAGACAGTAATAAAAGGGCTGAGAATACATGCCATCCATGGAGAAAATACTGCTCCAGGCTTACTCCAGTGCTGGTCACATGACCAAAAGCCTAGATATTTCACATGATCTCTGCTGAATGGGAGGATCGTTATTCTGCATGAATCCAAACTAGACTGCTAGTTTAGGTTCAATCTACTTTTGTCTTAATAACATGCTAGTAAGAGCTGCGTTGTGCAGCAACCATACATTTGCTTGTTGTGGACACGCAGGTGAAGGTTACCATGGGTTATTACACACAACTATTTCACCATTACAGAGGCCCACAAACACTAAGCTGTCTAAGTACTGATCACTTATTAACTTCGGAATAAAATACTAAGAATGTAGAATTGTGAATGGGAAATGCGGGAAACTGGCAAAACCATTTTGAATATTTCTTTCAAGAAAAATGTATAATACACTTAGCTTCAGCAGACAAGTTTTAATGTCTAAATGTTACCAGTGTGCTAGGAAACAAATTAAATCGATCCTGCGGAAATTCCATAGAAAATGTTTGGGGTGATATACCCATTACAATCTAATGATAAGCTCAGTATACACTTATTGCATCAATCCACCACCTACTGTATGAACTACAAACTACACTTACTGGGAAAAGATCAGCAGTGTCTGCTGCAAACTGCATCTGCATCCCCCCTGAATGAAGCTTTAATAACCCAAACCACAATCGTATAATGCAAGAGTATTTGTGCAGCATGAACTCATCTCTTAAAATAACTGCCGACATTTGAAAGTAACTTACGTTGAGTAAAAAAGGTGCCCATGAATTAACCAAAGTTAAAAAAAAGTTCTAAAACTTAAAAAAACAAAAAACATGGCGACCGTGTCAGTTACTACAACATGAAACAAGTTTTCTCATGGAGTTTTATATCAGTTCCATCACCAATCAGTCTTATGGCTTCACAGGCTTACACTTATACAACAAAGCTGAACCACCTTACATTCAAGCTGAAATAAATGGTGGCACTATTCTAGTAAAGTCACTTTACCAGAACACACTGAACTCACTTGACAGCAAAGACAAGGCATGTGAACAACTGCATTAAAGTACAAAATAAAGAGGGAGAAAAAAGGAATCGGAGTACAAAAAGGGACATAGGCAGCAACTCTAAATGAAAATGCCAAGGAGACTGGCAGTTGAGTGCCATGGAAAGACCTCAGTGGTTTTCATGGCACAAAAACAGACTTAAGGAACTCAGCGCTGAAATTATTTAAGTGCTCCAAGACTGAATTTACAAGCCACTGAGTTGAGGGGATAAAGGCTCCCTATAAAAATAATTGCCGACATGGTTTCAGTATATTGTTCATGCTATTGAGGAGAGGAAAGGGGGGACTATGACAGTCTTATTGCTCCACTGTTGGAGGACCAGTTTTACATTTGTAATTTTACAGCCTGGTCAACAGAGTCAGTAAGGTAGAAGGGTTGACATCAACAATGTAAGAGAACAGACATAAAGCAGCAGCATTGATGTAGAGCCCGGCTGGGCAGTGAGCATGTGCTTGCAGGAGTGTCTTTTTTTTTTGATATGTGCTATCTTCTCTGTTGGCTCCGTTTTGTGCTGTAGATCTTCAGCTCTAGCACTCTGGAGTCAGTTGAGTTTATGTTCAGAGGGCAGTCGAGGTAATCTTCTTTACGCCTCTTCTTTGAGCGAGAGTCGAACGACCAACAGGTTCCAGCACTGGAGACATGGGATTGAGGTTCAAAGCAGAGTATGTAGCTGCCATGGCTCCCTATGTTTGCAGAAAAGAGATAGTGAAAAACAAAGCCCATATAAACCGTGTATAAAACAAATGTCACAAAAAATGTGATCAAGATAAACAAATGACTTCAGCAAATTGAGAGGGTGAAGGAGAAAATGTCATCTATAAAATGAACAGAAAAGGACAGTGAAAGTCACAAAGTTAAAAGAGAACTATGGGGTAAGTATTTTTCATAGTTTTCTTTAGGGTCACTGGAGGACATACACTAACCTCCTTCCTTGACCCAAAGCTCACTATACAGCGGGCTATTGCCCGCAAGATCGTGAGACTGCCGCAGCCAGTACAGATCCCGACAATACTGTCGAGGTCCACCCAGCTGCGTGAGTGACAGCTGGTTCTGCCTTATCTAGAGGCAGAGCCAACTGTGCCCGCCCCCTCCCTGTTTGTTCCTCCACTCAGCACTGGAGGATCGGAGAGGGGAGGAATCCCTGCGATCACTGCAGGGAGATGATCGAGAAGCGAGCGGATCGGCTACATGTTTCTGCTCTCTTTTTCTTTCTTAAGATCCACACAATTTCCCTACCTTACAAGAACTGGAGTGGATCCTCAGCCTGGGGCCCCTGCTGTGACGAAGCTCCATGCATATGTGCATTGTTTGTACAGCTCCATTGCGCGCCCTGTAGAGGTACCGGGAGCCCGAATGTGACTTCAGTCCCGTCCAAGCACCTCTACAGGGCACATGCGGAGCTGTAAGCAATGCACATATGGATGAAGTTCCCTTTTGGCCATACTCCCAGCCCACCGCACCCCACGCTGACTCGCAGGGCCGGGCGGCATATTTTGATGGCTGCTTGGAGTGAAAACTGACAGTGCTGGGCTAGAGGGAGGCTGAGGAGTCTCTCACCTATAAAAGTGGAAGGCATGTGTCCAACCGTTTTTGGGTCACGACTCACTAGTTGAGAACCAAGGCTCTAGATAGTTCCTTAGGTGGGCATATTCCTAGTAAACACAAAGTCAAGGAGGAGGTCCTATCCTTGCAGCCCATAGAGCCACTATGTATCCGAAGTGCAGAGGGACTGGTCCTGTTATCCCAACCCCTCGACACAAGCACACTATTTCTGCTTCCATTTCACCAGTGGAATAGTATGCATCAAATGTAATACTAGTGTTGCCAACAATTCACACTTTGTGTTGATAAGTGGCCGGATTATTATGACCACCCCATCAGTACTTCGTTGGGCCACGAGATGACTTCGTTGGGCCGCCTCGTGACTCCACGAGATGTTGAAAGGTGATGCGAGGAATCTGACACTGCACTGTTGTCTTGTACCAGTCTTGCTACTCTCCGTTCTGCCCTAACATTGACTAGTCGCTGACGGCCACAATTCGCACGTTCAGACCCAGATTTTCGGCTGACAGTCCAGTCTTTAAACACTTTAACAACAGCTGCTCTTGAACATTTAACAAATTCTGCTGTTTTGCTGATACTCGCTCCATGGCTCAGAGCGCCAACAATCATCCCACGTTCAAAGGCTGTTAAATCGCATTGTTTACCCATATCTTCAGAAACAAATCACTTCTACTGTCGTGGTAAACAACCTGCTTCCCCATTTATAATGGCCTGGCCCTCTAGCAACTTCAGCGCCAAATTATAGCTAATTTGCCTACAAACGTCAGGTGGTCATAATAATCTGGCCACTCAGTGTATATCAGGTATTATGATGATTTGGCTGACATCCAGACCAGTTACCCAAACATGGTTTTTTATAAACTCGAAATTAAGGAATTTTTAATGGACTACTCTAGATTAATTCTAACAAAAGTAGTCTGGCTCACCAGATGCTAAACTCTGATTAACTGGAAATATTGCCATTATTCTGTACATTGTACATTCTTATACCTTTACTAGATGAGGTGCATCCTGTCGGTTGAGCTGGAACTGAGGCAACTGGTCACAGTGTACAATCCAAGGGTGCTTTAGCACCTGGGCAGCTGTTAATCTCTGATGTGGATCCACATGAAGCATCTTGGATACCAAGTCCTAGCAAAACAACAAAAAGAATAAAGAAAATAGTTGTTTTAGACGATGCTGTAAGCGGCATATACCGTGGTTGTTGCAGCAAAATTAAAGTGACATTAAAAGGCAAAACATTTTTTCCCTCCCCCCAATGTAAATGTTAGCACTTACCTTAAATGATGTCTCTTTTTCCGATCTTCCTCTTCTTTCCCCATGTTTTCATCTGTCCCTCCACCGTTGTGACGTCACTCCGATCCAGCGCTGACTGCTATGTCTCTCCGATCCAGCGGTGTCTGCAGGAGGGTGCACGCGTCCATAGACTTACCTTGCGTCTCTGCTCGTCTCCCGGCCGAGAATCGGAACTGCGCATGCGCCCACCCCAAGATCCTTTGCGGCCGTACGAGCAGTTCCTGATTCTCGGCGCGGGAACGAGCGGCAAAAACGAGGTAAGTTTTAAAAGGATTTTAAGCGTTTTTTTTTTTTTTTTTACACTTCTTGCCTATATCTACTACATGCTAGCAGTAGATATAGGCAAAAAAACCGGAGGGTTTAGAACCCCTTTAAATCTCCTGTTTGTTTGCTCTCAAAACAGGAGACATGCTGACTGCGCAATTCAAATTAGGTGCTTCGGTTTTAGCCACCCAAGCTAAGCCAGTCAAGAAAAGATTTGATTATGAATCAAATATTGACTTCAGTCATGCTAGTCTGGTATGTGATATACCTGGGGAGCATGAGGGAACTAAAGTACCAGCTTTACTTTAGCATCAATAATAAATATAAAAGTATGAGCACATTCTCAGCTAAGCACGTATATATCTGAACTTCAGGTAAGGAAGTCAACTTGTATTATTTTTCACAGCCAAGTCACCTGACTCCCACAATGTATCTTGTTTTTTATCCCATACTTGTGTGCAGTAGGAAAAAGTTACAGACTGACAGCTCACTCCTCTTCATTGCCAGCCAGAAGAAGTCACAGGATTGCAGATGGAGGGGGCACACTCTCTATGAATCAGCATGGGCACTAGAGCTAGAAGGTGGCCTTGTATTATCTTGGGAAAGTGCAGAGACAATGGGATAAAAGCTGCCAATCAAGAGTTCATCTCCTTTACAGAGCTTGGTCAGGAAAGAGAAGTGACCTGTCACAGTCTGTATCTCAGTTTCTACTCCACACAGAGGCATGGGATAAAAAGCAACATACACTGTGTATGTTATGTGACTGAGCTGTGAGAAAATAATACCAGGTGAGTAATTATATTTATTAAGTACAAATCAATGGGGGCAGAGCCTGCAATCTATTATTACAGGTATCTATATAGCACAGACAAGTCATGCAAGGCTGTACACTGACATTACAGTGCCGCTATAAGATCTGCAGCCTCTTGTTACATGATTGCAACCTACCACTTTGACAACTGCAGGTGAGGTTTAGAACCAGGGAACACTGGACTGCATATTAGCAGGCTTACATTCTGAAGCATTTTGAAGTGAATATAGTCATGGAACTTTCCTTCATATGAGTAACTGCATTTAATAGAAAAGATTTACAAAGAACCAAGCAGACACTGCCCGAACATATACATATACACATTTGTCACAATATCTATGTAAATGTGATGGCGAATTTTCTAGAGTGGGTTCTAAAAGTGTGTGTACGAATACCAAAAACCAAGTATGATTGCAATAAAGATTTAAACAGACTGTGGAATATATTGATTTGAAGAGAGAGAAGTCCAAACCTTGGCTATATCGGAGACTGAATTCCAGTAACCACCACTTAGAGAAAACTTTCCACTGCCTATCCGTGCCAGTATTTCTTCCGGAGTATCATCTGGTCCATTTGCAAAAGGTGTATATCTGAAACAGAAGACAATAGTCATCAAGAGCTGGTTGGCCACAGAACTTTTCCAGTGCTCAATTTCCATCATCAGATTTTAAAGTCCTGAACATGAGACCTATAATTTTACAGTAACTGGAAGTGAACAAGGAAAAAACTTGGGGGAGAAGAGATATCGGTGTATAACTGCACAGCACTTGCAACTTTGCTATACACAGCCCACTTCTGACCTCCTTGGAGCATAGCATGCAATCTTTATTAGACATTTGCACATTTTACTGGGGGGTAATACAAGCAATTATCACTCAGGTTTCAAAAGACTCCTTGACAATGTGGGTGGAGTGCTGACACACATCACATGGATTACAGTTAGTGTGTACAGGAGTCTTTAGAGTGCCAGCTTTTCTCCCAGCTACTGACCATGTGCAGTGTTCTTCCATGCAGGTCAGGTGCATGAGGTCCTCTACCTGGACACACTTTCAGGATCCCTGTGAGGGAATATTTTTTAGATGTTTTTTGTTGAATTATAAGCTAAACTAAGGCAGAAAATGTCAGTGTTTGTTTTTCAGTAATGTGACAAGTTGTCCCAGCTTGGTAAACAAATCAGGGAAGTGCACTCTATATATTACTTTATTTGAAGCATACATGTCCTTAGAGGGGGGAAACTGAATTATGGTGATGACATGTGTATCACAGTAGTTCATTGGTTAGCACAGAGATCACTATCTGCCATTTTGTAAGTTTTATATGTGGTATGCACAAAAACGGTTTATGCGAGTCTGAATGAGTGTGTAGGGACTTAACAGTGTAAGCTCTATAAGAGAAGGGAATGATGTGGCTGGCCCATTGTTCTCTGACATAAACTGGCACACTTTAGGCAACAAAAAATAATTGTTACACAAAATTGAAAAAAACCCCCATTAATTTTAGAGCTGAAAAATAGATTCAGCCATCTACATAGACTCACCCGGTTAGCATGGTATAGAGGAGAACACCCAAGCTCCAGATATCGCATGCAGCATCATAACCTTGACGCTTTAATACCTGGATTACAAAACAAACATATTGGCTTCAATGTTTATGTCCATTTGTCTAATACTCTATTCTACACTTAACGAGAGGGTATCTATACCATAATAAAGGTAAATTACCGAGCATGCTTACATACACACATACAAGGGAAGCAAGAAGTGAGGACATGCTGTGTCACTACTCCAAAGTGTCTGACTTCTGACCGATTGGAATGGCCTGCCATTTGGGCACAGAGGAAATTATCTATGTGAATAACCACTGTGCACCTTCTAGCAAACGTGTCATTGGCATCAGTTTGTGACGTTACTTAGATCTTTCAGAATTCACCAACAGGTGCATTTGTCCTGCAGTAGACCTTCTCCTTGTCTACTTCATGCAAGATTTGCATTCCCATATTCTTGTATGGGAATGCAAAATTCATAAAAAGCAAACAAAAGCCTGTCAACACAGGCCCTTATTTTTAAAATGACAGATTTACTTGGAAGTGCAATGTATTTTCAGTTTACTGGTCCTGAGCTGCATGTAAACAATGAATCTCGCCGGCTCATCTATTTTAAAAGTGTGCACCAGCAGTCACCCTGAATACATTTTGAATCTGAATACATTCAAGTATTGCCTGTAAGGTACCATATAAATATTTGCATTACAACAGAGTTCCTTGATACTTTAAAACTCCTTATGAAAGTATAATACCACAAAGTATATTTCCAGCCGCAAGCCAGTAATCTTTAGACTTTGCTTAAATGACCAGTACAAGTGTCAAATATTTTTATTCCCCCAATTAAAGTTATCCCTTATCTCTACTTGCCCGCCTGTATAAAGCTTACTGCTACTTGCCTGACTATATCAAGCTTACTGCAGAAGAGTGAGAAGGAAAAGACTCATTATTTTAGCATTATTTCTTTCCCTATGAAGTTTGTGCAATCATTGCTGGACAGAGTTTGACCTCAAAATCTCAAACATTAAGAGCATTTACCCGGCTAAGCCTGGCAGTGGTAGGGAATACATTATTAGAAGATAAACAGGAAAATTTCACAAACATTCTGGATATATTAATTTCTACAAAATCAAGGACAGAAATATAAAAGTATATTAAAGTATGTTTTCAGCTTACATGGCAATACTCCACCTAAATCTGACCTTTGTGTACAGGAACGGACACAATTTTACAAGGACTGGGATATGCCCCATAATCAGATGAGGTGTACTATGTTACTACAAAGTGCAGCCAGAAAGAAAAGGAGGATTTAGACAGGAATTCAAAATCCCATCTGAATAAAACTGTATTCAGTCTAATGACAGAAATGGCCATTACCTCTGGAGCAACGAAATTTGCAGTGTAACACGGAGTCATAAGCAATCCATTTTCTGCCCTGAGTTGTTTAGCAAAGCCAAAGTCGCAGATCCGAATAGACTCGGGATTTCCAGACTCATCCACATAAAGAATATTGCTGGGTTTCAAGTCCCTGTGTACAACCTGGAAAGAAAACCATATTCTTCAGAACCACTTTACCTACCAGTGTGTGTATAGAGTCTAGAGCAGTGGTTCTCAACTCGTGGGTCGCGACCCAAAAGTGGAACATTACACTATGAACATGTATGACGGGTACTCCAAAAACAAAAATATCATGGTTTTTGGTCATTTTTATGTTTTTTTCTTTGTTATTTGTATAATTTTTCAAATACTTATTTAACACAGAAATGCATCATTTCTAGAATACAGACAGGTTTTATTTGAATTAGTTTTTTTAAAAAAAATCCTGTACTGTTTGCTTCTGTATTTTTCCCTGTTTTGTCATAAGAACAAAGGCCCATTTTTTGCACCCCGTCATGGGTCGTGAAGGGGTATCACATCATTAAAGGCCATCTCCAGTTAGAAAAAAACAACCTACCAACTACCCAATTAGTGGGGCTACCCTCTGCACTAGAATTGTGAACAGCTAATTTTTGTTTGAGAGACCTTTGTAAAGCGTTCTTACTTCACCAATCACAGCTCCTTTTGTCTCCAAGGCTGGCGCCGGTGGCCTTCTTTTCCCTCCACTCAGGAGGCTGGAGGCCTGCTGACGTCATCACATCTAATACAGGGCCCAGAGCTCTGCATTATACATGAGACTAAGGGACAGTCCACAAGCTGGAGCAGACAGGAGAGGGGTGATCGACGACCGCCAGGGAAAGCAGGGATCAGGTACGTAAAAGTCCTCTTGACAATACTACTACCCAGGTAATCCTTGCAGGTCTGCAAGTGTATTAGGGTTACCCCAAGATGGGTTTTAAAGCAAAGGAATTGTAAAAAAGAAATCAATAACTAGCTCCTAATGTATGTAGCATGCTTCAAAACATTAGCATTAAGTTATTCCACCCAAGCTAAAACAAGCTGAAATCCTACAATGCCAATCAAGGTTTGACCATTTCCTAAACTATTCATTTAAGGCTTATTGACCTCACTGCATCTCACCCATTGTGAATGGAGGTATTCCGCAGTTTTGGTTATCGTGTGCAATACAGCGCTCGCTTCCCGCTCCGAGAAAAACTTCTGTCGTAGTATTTTGTCTAAAAGTTCCCCTCCTTTCATAAGTTCGGTTACTAGATACACATACTTCCCGTCGTCATACACCTGTAATACAACACATACATATGATCACCTTTCAATATCAATTAAAATGCATAGATTGGGGGAGGGTATGAAAAATTTACAATGTGCAAGCAATAACTCCGAGAACCTAATTTGGTTTTATAACTACGTTTATACCATGTACTGAAATGTAACAGCTGAAAAGGTTGTAATTTTATGAAGAATCATTTTTGAATCAGTTTTCTCCCAGAAATCATGGATGTTTTAGATCTGAAATGCTGTTCTAAAGAAATACTATAACCTTCCCATGCAAGATATGTGAAAAGCACTGTAAGAAGTACCACAACTCTTCCATGCATGAGTTTGTGAGTCGTGAACAATGCTGCAGAAAGCAACTCCCTAAAGTATTCCAGCTTCCCCATCACAATTTGCAGACCGCTTTCATTCCATGCATTAAGGAAAATATAATCATCTCCAGCTCTTCTCACAATCCTGCTGCACTAACATACAGAATGATCAAGTTATGAAATACTGCCAGTATTCGGGTCCACGTCATCACAGTCCCTCAAGCCGCTGTGAAATAGACACTATAAGAAATGGTCAATCAGCAGCCCTGTCTGAGCACCAATGTTTCCCTTCAGCAGAATATTTAACCAATATATAAAAATTATTAAAAACAGAAGGCCAGCGTGACAGCCTGAAAACTAGCATTTTCAGGATGAGGTCACAAATGGCAGCCTAGTGGGTATTTCTATGATGGTAGTTTTCCTGGAGCAGGGTTGCAATAGCAGTTGGTGCATGGTTTTCTGACAGATTGGCTTATAAACATCTTTAAACCAATTTAAATTCTGTCAAAAACTTTTGATGCACCTATTTCTTTTTGCTTTAAATGTGGTTGCCTGGTTCTGTTGGCCCTTTCTGAAGAGTGGGAACCTTTCCCTGATAAAGTGTACGATTTTCCAGTCGACAAAAGTCCTCTAGATATGTAAGAGTATAATGATATCTGGATGGCTCAGATGTGATGTGCTGCAGGAAGATGAAAGTGGAGGACTTCAATACTGAAATTGCAACCTTTAACAGACAGACTTGCCATAACGTCAATGGCTATTATTTTAAAATCATCAGTTGCAGGCTATACATAACTCTTTCTATCCTATGGGTAAAATGATGAATGGTGCCAACATCAACATTTTCAAAAACCTCCCATTCCATCACACTATAGAGGCTTCTTGGGTCTGAAAAAAGTTCCAGTTATTCTATGCTATGACATTTAATTGCTCTTATAAAGATTAGATTTGGTTAGCCTTGAACTAATAATTTCCACCAACTTACATCTTTTAACGTGATGATATTAGGATGCTGTCCGTAGCGCAGAAGGATTTCAATTTCCTCAGTTGGATCTCTTTTGCCCTTATCAATGATCTAAAACAGAAAATATTATAGCATTACTAATGATTTATGTTTTACGTACATTAACAAACCCAATGCCGTTACTTCACTCCATTTTCACACACAGAGAAAAGATCCGTTAACATTTTAGATCAGATATCAACAGAGGCCTATCACATTTAATAACCAGAAAAGCTGCTTCTGCACTTCTCTGATATAGTATCACTTTGTTCCTGAGACCTGATTTTCTCTGACTTCAAAAAGCACCGACAACTACAATTCAACTGTTCAATGACAGCACTGTTATTGGCCACTGAGGCACTCTCAGTTTTAGAGGCAAGAATCTTTTGGCATGCTAGGACTTTAACTTTAGAAGCATAAAGTTGAGTACAGGTTCACTTTAAAAAAATATATAATAATAATTTAACAGGTATTAACCTACCTAGCGGTCTGATTATGCAGTATTTTTGCATGCCAAAGCGGTAAATTGTTTTAAACGAAATATAATGTAAAAAATGGTCCAGTAAATGGGGGCGCAGCCTGATGCGTACCACAGTCAATAGAGCACCAAGTTCGCACATCACTGAGCTCGGTCACAGAATCGTCGCTGTCGTCACTTTCAGTGTCTGATGACGAATTTCCCCACGAATCGCTATCACTCAATTATGCATGTGATTCTATCTATGAATCACTAGCGCTGTTTTCTACCTTGTCTAAAACCGCTTTTGACCTAAAGGGATGCTTTTTGGATGCCATGGAAGCTCTCTCTTTTCTGCATTAGAAATGAAACATAAATGATGACAATAGCCAGTAAGAAAAAAATTGGCAGTACTCATGTCACTTTGTCATTATACTAGGCCTCATAAAGGGACCCCAAGTGGCCCCAAAATGTTGTCTGTTTGTGACCAGATGTACACGTCAATAAAGACACATTTGGATATTTAAATCTTGGTGTGCTGGATATATATTATTTCTACTTGGATATAGCGGCGCTATCTGCAGCCACTTCTGCACCCATCTACAAGGGGCATACCGGTAAGGAGTGCGGTGGCCTCTCTTTAGAACTTGCTTTCCTGTCACTTCTCTGCCATGTTTTCATTAACAATATATGGGACAGCACACAGAAGCACCTGGAGACAGAATAAAGGAAAAACTAGCCTGCTGTATTTCTCTCACCTATTCTGTGCTGATCAATGTGGCAGTAGAAGGCATTAGAAATCCAGCTTTGCAAAGAGAACTAGTGGGACTACAGCAAATCCAGCTTGTCATTTTGTACATAGTTTCTACTTTTGTGTTGTTGATGACTATCCCGGCAGAGGCAAGGGCAAGTCTCTCACACAAACCATCTGCTTTCTTTATCCTGAGCAGCATTTACAATAGTCCAGGTCAGCAGGGAAAATAAATGTATTAGTATGGTTGTCAAACAATTTTTTTTTCTCCAAGAAATATAATAGTCAGTGTCAACATAAGATATTAGTTTTTTTGACAAATGTAACAGATCTGCCTTACTGTGAAGGCAAATCACTGCTCCCTCAAAAATATACAGCAAGGCCTACATGATCTTGCAACTGACAGGCAAAATGGAAAATCTAGTGGTGTGGTAGCATCTTGAAAAATGACACAGCCTCATGACTGTATAGAGCAGGGACCTCCAATATATGTGCAGGTACCTTGCTATAAAATTCCTGCAAAGTTAACTTTCAAAATGCACCAGGCTTAAACGGGAGAATGTTTAATAAAAGAATTGATAAAAATAAATACATTAAAAAAGCAAAAACCGGGAGGATGTGTACTTGAATAGATGTCTAAAAAAGGGTTCAGAAACATCAACATCTTATGTACATTGGCAGCGCGAGTCCCAGGATGGTCCCCACCATTTGCACGCCATTAGCTGAGAGCAGAAATAGATAGCCCTTTCAGGATTTTTGTTGAGTACTTTATTCTTTCTTTTTTTAATGATAAATTAGAGGATTTGATTAGATGATTACCTTTCAAATATGGATGCATCCATAAAAATAAATTTTTTTTTTCAAAAAAGCAGCATATAAGAATCAACATCAAGTCCCAGCCACTGTAACTGCGAACATTTTGTTTATAAAAAATTTTCAAAGCTAAAACGGAATAATGATAAAGGAGTGCCACAATCAAACTTTTCAGTTCGGTGTCTAGGCACAAAAAAACCCACACCTGACATCTCTACAATACAAGCACATTTCCCCATGTTTCGTTTCTTTATAAATGTTCCATGTCAATTAAGATATTTATTGGTCTGATGAAAATTGTGTGCTCCTTCCTGTAATAGCTGATAAAGCTGCCTCAGCTGTACTATAATCTCAAGCATGTTGTGCATTCTGACCAGTTTTCCTCTGCTGGACTATGGAAACAGTCACCCTCTCCAAAAAATAAGGTCCTTAAGATGTGGTGGCTGCATTCGTTTTCTCTTTTCTAAATTGAATTGACTTTCCATTTTCTGCAACAACATTACCTTTACTGCATATTCCATATTTGTAGCCTTGTGGATACACCTTTTACAAATAGAGTATGATCCCACCCCGATGTCTTCTTTTAGGTCATAACCGTCAGTGAACTGGATGCTGTTTCTGTGAAGCTGGAACATAAAAGGGTAGATTAAACTGAGATTGTAATGTTTCAGTCACAGGGTAATGATATATTTGACATAGCAAGGCAGTTTTGGGCAGCTGAGCGCAAAATTAATTGATCTTTGGCTTGTTACATCACTTGGGGGATTTGCTGTGACGTCTGCCCGAGACGCCCAGCTCCTTCGCCACAAGGTCACTATAGAGATGTGACACTGTAGATACTAGTTTCTCATTTAGTTAAAGAAAATAACAGAAACGGTAGTTAGGAAAGACTATAGTCTTTCTCAAGGTTTTCAGATATAGGTGACCACCTTAATGTAAATCCGGATGTTTAGAAACTTTAAGACTTAATTACGGAGGACTGGAAGCTGGTTGATTGATCTATATGTAACAAGACCTTCACCCTAAATGAGCTGGACATAGCTGAGGCAATAAACCCAATTCTGGCTTCACCACCTTCTGAATCAATGATCAAAATCAAGTATGCAGTTTTTGAGTTAAGACTTCTTTTGAAACCAGAATTAGGATGACAGCCCCAAACCTGCATCTCTAAATACCAACACTGTGCACTTCATTTACATGGACATATAAAACCAAGGTACACACAAGAGTTAATATGTCTGCTGCTGTTTATGCCATATGCTTACCGGAACAATGCCATGAACACCAACAGTCTGTATGGCCTGGTTTTCTTCCTCTGAGGAAATTGCCACAAAGCTAAATCCACGGAAGAGCTGATGTGCATTGGCACTAGCTGGGATGCCAGGAGAGTCTAGACCAAAACAAAGATTATGAGTCCTAATATTAAAGAAGACCGTGCAATTAATAAGATCAGAAATGTACAATAAACACAAGAAAAAATAAGATATTTTTTTTGTACTCATCAGAAAATCGGTTTCTCTGCATTCATTAAAGGACACAGCCAAATCTTGATTTAAATGGAAGGGTTATATCGCCACCTTCCGGGGGCAGGACATGTTCTACTCCCGCCAGTGGCGATATAATCCTTCCGTTAAATGAAGATTCGGTTGTGTCCTTCAATGAACGGAAGAGAAATAACCTTTTACTCAAACACACAGACCCTCATCTCACCTTTGGGTGTTTTTGCCGTGAACTCGGGGTCAAAATAAAATGTGTCTTCAGGACCACCTGTTGCTGGTTTAAATGGAGGCTGAATTTCTCTTCGGTACAATTTCTAAAAAGGATAACAATATTTGAAACAGATGTATTGAACCCACATAACAGTCCACATAACAACCAAAAACTGTCTAACACTGGTATGGGGCTGCTTATCTATACAGAGTAGCTGTGTCAACACCATATAAGAATACAATGTACTTACATTCCAGTCAATTGTTGCAAAGAAAGGATGCCTCTTAATTTCTTCAACACCATCAGGGCCAGCTCCTATAAACAAACATGTAACATCTCTTATTTCCCCTTGAAAGCATAGAGGAGCACACACTATTTCCCTTGCCTCTTTGCTGCAGTCTTACACGGTCTACACCTAACAGTGACTCTATTCCACTATATCAAAGAAAAAACATGAAATGTTTAGAAGCATTGAAAACTAGCATTTCAGTTTCCGTTGGAAGCTGATGCAACCACTCATTGATTTCTGATGCCCCTCAGTGAGATCTCACCTGGCACAGCCCCTATTTCTCAAGCTAGCACAATTTCTGCAGTTTTTTCAATTATGAGAGATAAATAATGAAGACTCTAGGGGTGAGTCAGACCTAATCATAATGGCAGAGAAGATAGGTGAAGTTCTTGCTGCTGCTGTTGAGATTAAAAAGCTGGCAAGTGGCTCGCAACCAGCCTATGCTGAATTGTTCAACTAAAATAACTCTTTAAAAAGCAGTCTCACCTTGTATTATTTTTCACAGCAATGTAACATAACTCCCCCAGTGTGTGCTGCTTTTTATCCCAAGTTTCTGTGTGGAGTAGAAAAAAAAAGTAAAACAGTTACAGACTAACAGTTCACTCCTCTTCATTCTTGACCATGCTCTGCAAAGGAGATGGCAACATGACTGACAGGAATCCGCACAGGCTCTAGAGCAGGAAGGGAAGCCTTGTTCTGTGTTGGCAAAGTGCAGAGCCTGTGAGGTAAGAGCTGTCAATCAAGAGACCATCTCCTTTGCAAAGTATGGTTAGTGAACGGTCAGTTTCTACTCCACACAGAAGCATGGTATAAAAAGCAATATACACACTGTTGGAGTTAGGCAACTAAGCTGTAAAAAATAATACAAGGTGAGAGAGACTTCTTTAAGTGAATGCTGTACCTTACCTAATCTGTTGGTTGGGTTTCTCTTGAACAGCATACGCAGTAGGGACTGGGCCTCTGAAGTAAGAAACTGTGGCATGCCAAGTTTTGCTCTAAAATTTAAGCAAAAAAACAAACCAAAAAAAAAAAAACACACATTAAACAAAATACATTGAGTAATTTCAGACAGCAATTGAAAGCAAACTAGCAAGGAAATTTTGCAACCAAAATTCAAAGGGCCTGTTCCATTTGACTTATTCTAAAGTCTAGGCAATCCACAGCAGAGAAATTTCAATGCACCCCACATGCAGAGTGGGAGAGTCCAATTCCTGAACCTGTGCCATGTGGCTTGCTGTGTGTGATGCATCACAAATCAAATTCAAATGATTAACCCTTTCAAGGACATATCGCGGTACACAATGGTTTCCAGCTGGCCGCGTCAATATGCCATACGTCGGTGGCTTTTACCGTTCTGCTATAAGCTCATGGTCGCTTGGCGACCATGAATAGATATCAGAATGGCTCCTCTGAGAAACCCCTTTAAATTAAAACCCGCCTTTGGCTGAGGCACCAGGGATCCGAGGTGTTTGCGTGGGAGGGAGCCGCAATTTCAGGATGGCTGAGCGGTAAACAGATCAGAGCCACCGGCTGTCAAATCCTGGATCGCCGGCAGCTCTGTCATCTGTCTGTGCTGGATGGCTGAGCAGGTGGATCAGTAAATATGTGTGATATTTACCGATCATCTGTGCAGACCAAACACTGGCGTGATCAGCTGATCACTCCAATGTTTGTAAACAACTGGGGACACATAGTACTATGTGTCCATAGTAATGAATGAACAGGAAGTGCTTTACATCACATCCTGTTAATTTATGAGTTTCTCAATGGGTGGAAGCCTCAGTATAGAAGATTCTACCCATTCATAAACTGGATAATAGTAAATCTTTTTAGAGCACCAGTTTTGAATGGGAAGCTTCTGTACTGAGTGCTTTCCATTCATTGAGTGCTGAGGCTGCAGAATAAAAATTAATTAATACAAATAATAAAATAAATAAATAAAACAAACCCCCTTCCCCAAATGAACACACATAACAACTACATACTACTACTACAATTTTTAGCATAAGTATTTTTTTTTGTGCACCGATTTTAGTGTGCTTTTATCAATGTGAGTTTTTATCGGTTTAATATTGATTTAAAGGAGAACTATGGGGTTAAGGCTTTTCCCCATAGTTCTCCTTAGAGTAACGGGAGGACACAAACTAGCGTCCTCCCGTCACCCTAGGCTCAGTATACCATGAGCTATAGCTCGCGGTATGCTGAGACGCTGCTGCTCACGGTATACTAAGACGCCGCAGCTGAAGCGGATCCCGACAATTATGTCTGGATCCGTCCAGCTGCGTGACTGACAGCTGGCTCTGCCTATCTAGAGGCAGAGCCAGCTGTACCTGCTCCCTCCCCCGTCCGTTCCGCCAGTCAGCGCTGGTGGATCGGAGCGGGGAGGGGGGAATCCAGCCGCTGCCCTGTCACGGCAGAGAGCCGTGACAGGATCGAGAGGTGAGCGAACGCCATGTGTTTGCTCACCTCCCGATCTACTGAGCCGACCTGTGACAGTCTCATTGTCACAGGCCGGCTAGAATTATGAGGTGAGTGAAAAGCACTCACCTCATAGTTCTCCTTTAATAAACATTTGCGCAATTATCTCAGGGCCTACAAATTTAATAGCATCATCTTTTTATATGGTTTGGGGGTCTTTTACAAAACACAGCAGTAGGAAAACAAAACAATGGAAAAAAAATTGCAAAAATGGTGGGGCCAGCTGAGGTGTAAAGCGTTCCAGAGGGCTTGGCAGCAAAAGGGTTAAGATCTAATGTTGAGAGATAGTTGTGAAGCTATAAGTTGAGGAGAAGTCACCAGCACTCCATTGGCAAGAAATAACTAGCTTTGTTTTATTTACAATGCGTCACATGAAATGCATAATTCCAATGTTTTGGGACTGCACAGGGTCCCCCTCCTCAGGATCACATAGGTAGTTGTTGTTAAGAACATTTCTTTACTGAAACTCTAATATAACAGTCTTTCTGCAGGCAAAAAGACATCAAGGAGTCTACGGTGGTGCCATTTATGAACATATCCACTATATTACAGACGTTAAACAAAATAATCAGCAGATTAATGCAGATTAATGAAAAAACACATGGGGTGAATTGGTTGCATACAGCAATGTCTGCATGAAGAAATCAATCTCTAAGCAAGTTGGTTTAGAAACTCCTCCTGTGTATCTAAAGACTATAAAAGCACATTTAGGTCAAAATGGAATATTAACAGCATAGTAAGAAGAGCAGGAAAATATGCTTAGCTCCCTCTAGAAAGAAGAGCTGGTATCTAGGGCAACACTTAGTTCTGACATTAGTTCTCATTATACATGCATAGTCTACTGAATGCAGAAACCGCACAGAACCTTGAAAGATAAACACTAATGCATTATTACATGTGATGGAAGCTGGCACATAAAAGTTGAATCAGTATTCTTTTCTCACAAACAGACACCAAGGAGCACCTTCAAGCCACATTCAGATTTATGCATTTTGGTGAAACATGAGTTACACAAAGCACATACCATATGCACTAACATTCATTCTGCATGGCAGATTCCCATCTGTGTCTCCTTTGGGAAGACTGGGCTCTTATTTCTGGGCCTGATGTCAGGTGGCCACCAGGACAGGAAGTAAGGGGAAAACAAGCCAAAGAAACACTATTTTAGTAGATTGTGGAAGGGAAAGAGACAGTCAGGTTTTCACTGTGTGGGCTGTGCACAAATTTCCTCCAAACCGTCTAGTCTACTAACAGTGGGTCACTATAGGAATTTTATTTAAAAAAAAAAAAGCTTGGATGAATGTGCCTAACGATCCAGTGATGCCATCAGCACCTATTAAACCAATAGGCTTGATTCTCGTGATTTTGAATGTAGTTCTCTACTGTGCAGGTAATAAAAACATCTTAAATGCAGGTGATAAAACAAGTTTTAAATCTAAAAAAAAACAATATAGAAGATTATTGTGCTCTAATGAAAGCGCTCTTATTTTCCTAAACTGTTATTAAAGTTTCCAAGCGACATGCCAGTTCCCACTTAAACTAAAGAATCAAATTTCAAGTGCTTCCAAGGAGCCATTACTCACTTCAAAATCATTGTCATGGTTTCCTTTCGGTCCTTTCCTTGAAAGGGTAAGGTACCAGTAAGCATTTCAAACTGAGGGTAGAAGATACAAAGAGTGTGAGATGGATGCATTGATAGCAAGATCAGTAAATACATAATGTCAGCGAAATACATTTTCTACTTAAACGTTTATGAATATATCCTATTTTACAATAATGATCATTATCAATGAGACTCAATTTTTGAGCCCCAATGCATAGCCAACTAGGTTGAAAAGCTGCCACAGAAACAACACAACTGAGTCATTGTTGTGTAACAAGCATCAGTTACGTAACCTTTTACACGGGTCATAATTAATACGATCAATTGCACAACACTGCACCTCTCTGTTGCTATAGGAAGATCATGTGAAAACATGTGAAACTAAATGCCCTGCTGAATCCCAGGCTTAGCTTCAGATATGTAGCTGTACAGGCTCCTCTCTGTACTTTAAAGGCTGGGTTCACACATGGGCGTACGGGAATACGCGCGTTTCCCGCTCGTTTCATCGATTTGCGGTAAAAGAAGCGTGCGACAAGCGCGCGTTTATGAGGGCTATCCGGTTGTATCCTAATGGATACGCGCGACAAATACGCCCCAAAGAAGCTCCTGTACTTCATTGGGCGTAGGGCGTTTTTCAGAGCGTTCCTACCCGCTGTAAAGCGCCCAGGTGGGAACCATGCCCATAGGCAATTATTGGTTTTCACATGTTGAGCGTTTTACAGCGCGTAGGAACGCCCAGGTGTGAACCAGGCCTAACTGTTTACTCTGATTCTGCTGCACACTGGGAGCTTCTCACAATGTGCATTAAAAAGCTGCAGCAACTACTGAGGCAGTAGTGCATTCAAGAAGCCATGTACAGCACCCTGATGCCCACTTCCACCAGACATTAACTGTTTGCATTGCACACTCAGTGTCAAAAATGAAGTATGCAATTAAAATGTGTTTTTTACTTAGAAATTTAATTAGAACGTTGGTAATGGGGGGGATTTTTCTTCTACTGGCTATGGTCAGCCAATAGAAAAGAAAATTACAGACAATTCCAACCAAATTTTCACTTCTAGGAACAGGGAGATAGTGTCAGGCAATAGTCAAGGAAGCAACTATCTAATTTAGGAGACCTTTGGCCAATGACCCTTAAGCTGCAGAGTCGCACTCAGACATAAGTAAAGATGAAAGGGGGCAAATAGAAACCTTGTATAAAAAGGTATGCAGCAATATAATACATTACCAATTATTTGAACACATAAAAAAGCTAACTATAACCTCCTGACATGAATCAAAACACCATTTAAATTATGTGTCCTGACTGATTACAATTTACTTTACAGCCCATAATTTCAATGAGTGTTACAAAGTTGCTGTCCCATGAAATTCAGAACAAAGCAACACGCAGTTCACATCATTTCTAGGTTTTCTTTATCAAGACTCCACAAAGGTTTGATCTGCATTTAATTAGAATGAATAAAACAAAGTCTATTCTGGTAGCTGAAATGTTATTCCTGCTATGTGCTCACAAGAATGTTACCCAGAACATGACAGCTTATACTAGCATTAAGGCTTTCCTTTCCGTAGAACTACACAAATGCTGGAGAAGACATACTTCATGTAAGAAAACCTACCGCTGCTAAGAGTTGGGAAAGATTTTAGCATGTATGTGGACAATCAACCCTTAACCCCAGTAGTTATGTAACAAACAACTTCATACAATAGGTTAAAGTACAATGGATTACTATAAAGGCAGAAGGAAAATCTGGATGTGGAATTTAAAGGAATCCGTTATGAGCAAATAAGGTCAGTCAGATACATGCTGTATATTAAAGTGGACCAACTCTTTAAGAAAAAAAAAGCTCGACTAACTAATAAGCTGACTGAGAAACCCTTATCCGTCTGATTACATATGATGCAACCACAGAGAACAGCTATGCAACACAGGCACAGAAGACTAATCTACAGACCAGTTCACAGTACAACTGTTCTCCAAGCCCTGCTCGATGAATTCAAAAGGAGTGATCACCAAATGTTGACCAGCACAAGCAGTCAAGTGACATGATGATCTCAGAAATTTAGAAAGGAACTGAACTCTGAAAGTTGTGCCCAAAATAAGGCAGGCAGAAGGTAAAGGACTAGTCACCAGTGTCACCCATGGTCTCCCTGGCAGTTGATCTTTGCCCCATTACTAAATGAACATGCCTTGTTTTTCCAGTCTCTGAATGGAGGTGGCCATCTTGGTAGAGGCAGGGCTTTGCATCCCCATCCTCTTCAGAGCCTCCAGCAAAGACAGCAGTAAGTTAAAACAGTAGTGATATCAACAAATCTCATTCCAAATCTCCAAAGACTAGCAGTCAGAGGCAGCAGTGTCTTAGGTCTCCCACTAGAGTTATGGGGATGTAGACACCCTCACATACCAGAAGTACACTGGTACAAAGGCAGTTTTCTTAGGGTATTGCTTAGGCACAAATAAAAAAAATTAAATATTCCCTTTAATAGTGCAAATCTTCACTTTTGAGTTCAGTCCCACATAAAGAGCTGGATCAAGTGTAATAACAAAACCAAACCCTGTTCTTATTAGCAACCACACAAAATGTATATATATTTTCGGAGTTTGCAAAGCCTCTAAAGACAAAACAATAATAATTAAAATCGGCGGCAGGCCAAATGATGGCAAACCAAAAATGTATTAAAGGCAGATGGCTGACACCTGCACACATTGAAGGATTTAGGATAATTTTCACCCCGTACTGTTAAAGCCATCTGCAAGCGACTTGTGCTTGAATGGGTACATATGCTGATAAAAACTGCCTGACCCAAACAATCCTCAACTATGTCTTTATGCTACAGTAAGCTAAAGATGCAAATAATAATGCACAGTATATATTTATATATTATTCTATGGTGAATGGTTTTCTATGCATTTTGATGCCTGGGTCTTCAGACTATGCTGGAAAACTCAAATTATGAGAAATACTGGAATACAAAAAAGTTATGTACTATACTGTCAGCACAAAGCAGGCGGAGGCGCCAAAACGATACATTAAATAAGGAGACACTTAAAAAAAACTTACCATGAGAACCCCAAAAGACCACCAGTCAGCACTCTGTGTGTGGCCCCTTCTGTTGACAACCTCTGGAGCCATGTACTCCACTGTGCCGCAGAAGGAATATGCTTTTTTCTCATGATCAATAGACTCCTTGCTGAGCCCAAAGTCTACAGAGAAATGAACATGGAGATCAAATTAGGGTAAAAGCCTGGTACAACTACGCGCTGAAGAAGGAAAGATCGCTAGATGTGATTAAAACAAAAAGGCCAAAAACATTGATCTATGCTTCTGCAGCAACATTCACTCACAATTTACATTAAACTTCCAGTATTCCAGCCAGTGAATATAAGCAATATTTTACAGTTAAAACTAAATTATGCTATGTTGCAAAACAGCATCCATGTAATGGATAACACTGTGGTCACTTACCAACCTGTAAAAACATTAATTTGCTTTGAAATCTAACTTTTATTGCACTTTAGCCCTCCTCAGATTCTATGCCTCCTGCATGCAGGAGAAACTGAAAGTAGAGGGAAGGTAAGGGTAGATGTAAGGTGACCTGGGAGATGTTAGATTTATCTACACAGCACTATGCACTGCCTGTTTTACAAAGAGCTGAGTGTATGGATGTACAGTAAAGGACGAGGAAAGCCCATGACCCCAGACTTAGGCAGCTAGAACAGATCAACAAAGAGGTCCGAGTTTCAAGAGACATGCACACCACTGAGAACACATGCAGCCACTGGGAAGACACTTTTACAAGTATACATGAATGCATGTTTTCCTTGTATTCTGAAATGAATGCATGTATAGTGAGGCTATATTTCTGCTTTGATATCAGTGACAAAATCTCCCTCTAAACCTGTGTGCATTTTCACATACATGGTTGAGACCGTAATATGTAGTCCTGTTGTAATAATGGACATTATTACAATGTGCATTATTACAACAGGTGCTTAGATTGTACCAAAAAAGATCAAAATGATCAATACTTGTATACACATCATACAGCAATTGGTATTTTTAAAAAGCCGGCTGGACCTTTTTTTTGTGTGTAAATGATGAAACTCTTTACGATGCAACCATTAAAACTCATGTTCTAAGGACAACATGGTGGTGTTACATACCTGTTAACTTTATGTGTCCTTCTTCATCAAGCAATATACTATTAAAAAAAAAAAAAAGAACATTTTAAAGTAAACATTTACTGTGAGGAGTATTTTATATAATTTCTAATACAAAAATGATTAAGTTAGAACTAAAGTCACTTTAACAAAAAATCAGAACGTAGAGTTTTTAGACATGCATAGGAGGGATGCACCGATACTAGCATCGGTGGCGATACCGAGTATTTGGGCCAGTACTCGTACTCGCCCAAATGCTCTGATACCGGAACTTCCAGGCAGAGGAAGATTACCTCTGACCGGCAGTGCCGTAGGGGAACGTGGAGCCGGCTTCTCGGGCAATCAGGAAGCAGGGTGGCGAGTAGACACACCTCCCAGCTTTCCGATTGTCTGGAAAGCCAGCTTGATGCGGATTGGCTGAAAAGTCGGCTTCCCAGCCAATCAGCATGGAGTCGGCTTCCTGGCCAATCTGGAACCCGAGCGGCAGGTCACTACTCGCCGCCCTGCTTCCGGATCGGTCGGGAAGCAGGCTCGATGCTAATTGGCCGGGAAGCCAGCCAAACATGGAGCCAGCTTCCCGGGCAATCAGGAAGCACCAGTATCGGTACTTGGTACTGGCGAGTACCGAAAGCAAAGGTCTATCGGTACTCGTAACCGAAAAAACGGTATCAGTGCATCCCTAATGCAGTCTTTTATCAGGCTCTTTATTACTTTTTGCTTTCTCTTTACACTGCATGGTTCATGCGCAGAAGTTACATCAGTGGCCGTTCGATGGCTGAAGAGGCTCACTGCAGGACCTGGAAGAGTCGGTGACAGAGGTGGTGGTGGAGCATGCAGTAGTGACAGTATTACCTGACTCACTATTGCTGGAGGACAGCACACTAAGAGGAAGGTGTGTGCCATAACATGTAAGTATGCTGTGCATATTTAAAAATGATGGCAAAATATCACCTTCACCAAGTTTACCTCTCCTTTAAAGATGAACTCCAGTCATACAGCCCAATACATATACTGTACATAAATATTTTACTTGCAAGATGCTCTTGTGATTCAGACACCATACTGCACAGCCCAAGCAACCAACACCACTTGACCCCCCTCCCTTGATTGGCCGTCAGCTGGCCTTCCCTCTCAATCTAAGGTCTGCTGATCGGGGATTATATAAAGATAGATTTCAGATACTTATGTTATCAGTATTTGAAAATGCATCCGAGAGTTTTTAATATATTAAGGATTGTGGTGTTTTACATTTCTCTATAGTTCACATTAAAACTATAGTACTGGGGACACATAGGACTAAGTTTCCCCAGTTATTTACAAACACTGGAGTGATCAGACGATCGCTCCAGTGCTTGTCTTCTCACACGGAGGATCGGTAAATATCACTGATATTTACCGATCCCCCGCTCTGCCACGCACAGAGCCACTGTCACCCTGAAACTGACAGGATGACAGCGGCTCCGATCTCCTCCCCGCTCGGCCATCCTGACAGCTGGGGGCGTGGCTTCTCTCCCCCTCACCGCTCAGCCATCCTGACAGCAGGCAGCGCTCCCTCCTGCGACCCCCCCCTCCGGGACGGATGGACGAGGGAGCGCTGTCATCATGTCGGTGAGGAGGAGAGAAGCCTCCCCGAGGAGGTCTGGGAGTCCCTCCAGGAGTTGAGTGCCTGACTCAATTGCTTCATTTCCACTCGCCCCCATGCAATTTTCACTCGCGAGTGTATATATGTGTCCCCCTATTAAAAGGCAGGCTGTAAAAAGCACAGCAAACTCCAAATACTGCAGTTTTCTGAGGCAGGAGATTACAAAGTCCTCTTCGGGTCCTAAGGGAAACCTGTACTTAAACCCACACTAAGCCAATATCAGCAGTTCTGAAAATCAATATCTAGGCTCAGAAAACTGCTATTTGAGCTGCACACCGAAAACTGGCGTCACTGGTTGATGGTGAATATACCTTATACTCCTGAATAAGAGCAACTTATCTTTTACATAATCTGAAAATTATTGGCATCAAGTATTAAGCTGAAAAATTCTTAATGCAATACAAGTAAACAAAAAAAGTAAACAAAAACACCAAAAAAATAGGAAGAAGCATTTATGACAGAATAGGTTTAACCCCTTCGTGACTGACGACGTACAGTGTACGTCGCCAGCATCGGGGCTGTTTAAACAGACTCCAGGCGACTTTTGCCGCCGGGACTCTGTTTAAACTTGTAGAGCCGACTGTCGGCTTTACAACAGAAGCGATCCTGGCGGCTTACCTGTCGCCAGATCGCTTCTGCGTCCCGAAGAAGGGGATATATATATAATTATATTGCTTACTTTTCTGGCTTAAGGTCTCGATATATAATACCAAGTGTATGAAGATGATCTAATGCAAGTGCCAATTCTGCCAGGTAGTATTTCACATCCTCTTCAGTGAACATTACCTACATGAAAAAAAAAATATACATAAAATATGTACAAATATTGTAATGCTTCCCTGCCTAAATGCAAACTCCTTTTTGTAATGGCGTCTTTTTTTTTTAAACAAAAGCATTGAAGGCCTTTGTGATTTGGTGTGTTGCAAGTATTGCGATACACACAGCCTGTATTGTCTTGGTGACTTTGCGACAATTGCACCCCCATTACTTTATTTGGGTGTCATAGGGCCATGAAGTGAGGGAAATTCTTACCAATGGGATATCAAATAGAAATAAAAAATATACTGAAATTCTGAATCTTTCCCACTCTACCCGAAATAAATAAAAAAATGGTTTGGAGTTACGCTGTAAAAAAACTTTTCCTCAAGTACTCGCCGATTCCAATGACTGATACCTTTTAGTGTCAAGTGATCATTTTTCTAAAACAATTCAGGCTAATAATTTTAGGACGCTGTTGGAGCACGATGGCAACCCTGGTAGTTCTGCCACTCCAAGGGAGAGGGACTACAAATCTTAGCAATACATTATACAGCAATGCAGAATACCATCAGCAATAGACTACAAATCCCAGCAATACAGAATACAGCTATGCAGAATAAAAGCATTTGAATTTGTGTGCTGCTGCTATGCTCCGGCCTGATGTCTCGGGCAGAGGGTCTCAGGAGGGGAAGATGTAAAAGCAGGTGCTACATGAGCTTGTGAAAAATTAAAGCGGCGGTATCGGTTTTGGGGCATTTTAATGAGTATCCATACTGGTAACGGTGTATCCCTAGTATTTACAGCACATTTTAAGAATGTAAATGACAGCTTGTAACTGGGTAAGCAACACCTCTTATTAATAAGTCATGAATATATGAGGATAAAGGTTCAGAGTGGTGCATCCATTTAATAAAAAAATGAACAATTACGATATTAATAAAACAAATTAAAGATAATTGCGCTATAAAACTTGCCTCTTTGGATAAACGTGTAAACAAATCTCCACCCCTGAGAAAATCCAGAATAAGGTATAATTTGCCTTCTGTTTGGAAAGCTGAAATAGAAAATAGAAAACTTGTTTCCATGCAAATGTAAAATCAATTTATTAGGACACACCTTGCTATTATCCTTGATCCTTTCACAAGAATTGTATGTAATTTCCAGAAATGCATTAGCATAGGTGCCAACAATCCTAATTAGCAAGGGCAGTACTGGATTCTAACTCGTATTGGAAGTACAGCAAAAACATGCTTCCTTATACAGTATGTCAGACCCCCCTTCCCCCCCACCTCTAAAGTGGACCTAACAGTAAAACCTTACTGCAAGGTCCACTTACCCCCACCCCCGGCTAAAATTGGCTGCTGATTATATGTCCATAAGGCACCTGAAGGCGAGGGTGACGTTGCGCTCAGTCCAGCAAGATCATGGGAAACACAGAGTACAATCAAATCTCGCAAGATGCACTTAACCTGTAGTGTCTTTCCCACAAAATTTAGGCGGCTCTGCCTTTCGTCAGAAATCTTACAGTAAATATAGTGTCCTCATGTTGGGACTAAAGCAAGTATAATTTTACTGCAATGTCTACTCTAAGACTGGTGAACTAATAAACAAATGGTAAACTGATTAGTAGAGGAAATAATAACCAGAAGTTAAGGAAAAAAAATCCACAAAATTAAAGTAGGAGCGAGGAAAACTTTACGTAGCAAGTCATCTGGTACAGATTTCTCTCCAGCAAGGAGAACAGTAAGCAGAACAGTAGTGAAATCACCACACCTCACTCCACTAAAGTGTGTGAGAATAGTAGTCTGAGGCAGGAGTGGGAAGGGTCTGCCTCAGATCAGGGCTCAAAATTTCCAATCGCATTTGGCGAGTAAAAATAAAGTGAGGGCGAGTGGAAATTTGGGTCTCCAAGTACCGGTCTGCAGGCCAACTCCTACCTGGGATCGAAGTATTTGATTATTATATTTGTGTGGGAGGGGGTGGTGTAACGTTGAAAAGTGTATTATTGTGTTTTAAGCTGCCCATACACCTTACAACCATCACACGACTTTCGTCTTGCGATGGTTGTAAGGTCATTAAAATCTCGTACGATCTGCCCATCTTGGACAGGCAGATCGTACTTGCGATCATCGCAAGCCCTCCCCGCTGAGGGGCGGGCTTCCGATGATTGCAGTGCTGAGTGGGCAGACCGGCCTGTGCGGCATTCGTCTTGCGACCATGCCACCAAAAATCATACAATTTTCGGCAGGTTATTCAGCGTGCTCGTAAGACGAAAGTCGTGCGACCTTACAGTAGAAGCGGTCGCACGCTACCCATACACCTGTCGATTATCGTACGATAATCGCTAGGTGTATGGACACCTTTAGCGTGTGTGTGTGTATATATTAGGCCCCATTCACACCTACAGTATATTTCAGGTGTGATTAGAGATTCCTGTGTCAGGAACTCGTGTTTTCCTGCAGCAGGAATCCCTAATCTGCCGTTTACAAGCGGCAACTATCATAAGATAAGAATTATCATATTTAAGAGGGTGTGTTTAGGGGCAGAGTTAAGGCCGGGCCAGGGTAAGGGTTAGATGGGGCAACTGGCGGCTAGTAACTCTTAAGGCCTGGCTAGTAGCTCAGGACTTGAAATTTTGAGCCCTGCCTTAGCTTATATAATTCATGAGGCTACAGGAATAGGTATAGGTAGATATTTGAGCATGCTGTATAGTAGAGCTGCAGCTAACGATTATTTTCAAAATCGATTAGTTAGCCGATTATTAAGTTCGATTAATCGGTTAATACCATAATTAACCTTACTACATATTTCACTATAAGACAGGAAATCCTCACTTTAAGATATCGTCCAATTTGAGCTTTGGAACTGGGGGACGTTTTTTTAATTGCAATGTGTGTACCCAATGTGGAGAGTTCCTCTTACCCCCTTGTGGGATTTCCAGGAAAGGAACATAGGGGAACCTCCCCCTTTCCAGTACACTAGCAGCTTCCGCTATAAAAAGTCCTGATAAAGCGAATCACCAAAAATGTACAGGTTGGACAACCCAACACTGCTGAGGCGCCCCACTTTCCTGCTAATTACTCTGATACATTAAAACATATGTACATTATTTTAATTTATTTTACACAATAAATAGTAAAGTATGAACTGTATTTTTTATTTAAAGATAATGCATATTTGGCCTTTACATATCTAAATGTACACAAATTAAGATTGGCTGTAAATGACATGAAAACAGCAAGCAATAATGATTTTGAATATCACTAGCAATTAATCAGGGGGCAGTAAAACCAGATGGTTAATCTGCACTTTTACCATCCCCAGTCACCTGCTGCAATGTCAGCACTGTGGCTGAACACTGCTGTATACATTGCTGTGGCTGCAAGGCAAACAATATACAGCATGTAGCATTTGGCAGGGGGTGCAGTTTGTCAAACGCAATCATTGCAATAAACGGGATGCATCATAATCTTACCCAATAGAAAATCCCCACTGGATTAAAAAGAGAAAATATCTTGCATTCAGGAGGCAGCAGTATCCACTCTTGAACACCAGCCAGCCACTGCTCCACTCCCCTATGAAGAGTGATCCATCACAGTTTGCTTTTCAGGGGGCAGTGGAGGCTGCTGCCCGTATGAACTTAGCCTGAGGGAGTTGTGTATTTATGGCAGTTAGAGGTGTGAGGTATTGCAAAAATGCATGTAGGGGGTAGGCTGCAATGGTGATCCAAGAGCTGTCTGTTGCTGCCATAGACATTTTTAAGCTGGCTTAGTCGGACTTTCCAGCACAGTGTAGGAGCACAGTCTGATATTATTTCAAGCACCCAGCGTTTCTAGGAGGGGATGTCACTGGCAGGAAGCTACGTTGTAAATTAAGCATAGGTTTTCATTATTATTTAGAAAACAAAAAATAAGCAGGCCATTCATTTGCATTCCAGGTTTAATTTTAATTTAAAAGCCTGTAACACAAAAAGCGCAGTGCCCAAACGGATGCAATTTCTAAGTTATTAGGAGCTTAGGTCTGCTCATTATTTGAACATGAACAATGAGTTTCAGTTGACCAGCAGCAAAAAAAATTTAAAACTAGGACGTGACATTCTAACAGCTGGTGCTAGTCTATCAGCAGCGAGAAAGCTTGTACTCACCATAGTGCAATTTGACAATAAACGGATGATTAACTTCCACCAAAATATCACGCTCCATCTTTGTTCTAACACGATCTCGAACTGTGTGAAAATAAAAATAGAGCAGATTAAAGTACAGATTTCTGAATAACTCACGCAATTTTACTTGTTTCTTTAAAAAATTATATTTGTAATACTAAGTTACTTTAAAGGGGTCTATTTATAAATGTTTTTACTGAAGATTCACTCACCCAGGAGTAACACATTTTTCAAAGTGAAACCGATATAAAAATGTGTGACTCTAGTGTGAAAACATTTATAAGTAGACTCTAAAGTGTATGTATGATCAAAAAAAACACTTATTTTGGATTAGAGTATGGAAGGATAGAGCCCCTTGTCAGGTTTCTATTGTCAATTGTGATTTTTTTTTCCTCTAAATTTGTCCTGGTGATAATGGTCACTGGAAGTGATGAGAAACCAACATTTTACAGTTGTCACAGAGCAGGAGCGAAGGGAAAATCCTTCTTTGTAGGCAAGTCACGATGACAAGAGGGGATTTCCCCTCTCCAGGGCAGGAAGTGAAGGCAAATCTCCCCAAGGGAACACATACAGAAAAGAAAAAGAGTTACAGGAGTTTTACATTTTAAAATTAAATTTAAAAAAAATGTCAGCTTCCCTTTTCTGTGCCATGCAGTGTACACTCTTGGCTAATCTCACTGATGCCGAGAATGGGCCAAGTGCTGAGGATGATGTTATTCCTATGCACATGCGCAGGAGTTCCAACATCAGTGGCCATCCAATGGCCAAGAAGGATCACCTGGAAGAAACAGATCAGAAATAGTGGCAGCAGCAGGTGTCTGGACAAATCATTACTGGAAGACAGCTCAGAGGGAGGTAGGCATGAACCATATCTGCGAGTATGCGTGAATACTTGCAGACTATGGCAAGCCTTCATCCCCATCAACAAAGATTATTGCGCTTTGTCACTTGCCAGCAGGGGCTGACTGGCAACTTTTAGCCCAGGGGGCAAGTACAACTTGGAGGCCCATGGTGCAGCAACTTGGCCTCCCAAAAGCTGACTGTGTCCATGGTCAGTTGATAAGTCATAGATCCTGTAGCACTCCATACCGGAAATCCCAAAAAGAGTAAATGGGTGCTTGAAATGAAAGCGGATGGCGCCGCACACAGAACAGCTTGGAATGTAGATGTCACCAGCACACCAGAAACTCATAAGTGCAAATCCATTTATTGAAAGATGCCACTCAGAATATCAAGCGCTTTCAGGGCCGCACAGGGTCCCCTTCATCAGGCTCAGAGTAGACGTTGTATGATAGAGAACCACAACCAATATATATACACACACATGCTATCACAAGAGATAGAGACAAACCAACCCATCTCCTCACCCCCTGACGTCTTAATGACGTCATATTCCCGCCATTAACATTTCAAAAATAATGTAAACACAGGCAGTGATGAGGGTGCAATGAACATAAACTGCATCAATGCCAGCAAACATACTAAACAAATCCCATCAGACTAAAGAGATCGATCACTAACAAGTATAAAGAAGAACATGTACATTACTGTACATTGAGGAATAAAACCTGACAGATGCTTTAAGCCTTCACTACTATATGCCAGTAATGAAATAAAATAAAATTTAGCATGTTGTCTCCTTCAAGAAAGAAACATGTCACAATGAAAACTGACATAAGGCAACCTTTAAGCCCTCAGGGGCCTCTACTGCTAGGGATCTCTACAGCTAACACCTGCATGTAGAAAAAGTAAGGGTCCAGGCACCGTAGCACAGTATTTCCAAGAAGTTGCAAGCTTTCTATACAATAACGCTGGAATTTCACACCAGGGACGCACTCACTCAATTGTTTCAAGTGACACTTAAATCAGGCTATGTATAGCTACCCTTCGATTAAAGGATAAAGGGAACACAAAGTCCAATTCTAGCAAATATATAATTGAGTTTGTACAGTCAATGATCATTTGTTCTGGAAACAAAGGCACATTCCGGTCAGTTGACAGCACAACTCCATTACGCACAAAATGTTCACATGCTAAGGGTATCCACCTGCTAACACAGATGTCGTAATAAAATAAGCTTAATAAATGAATATCTGATGTTTCCAGAAACCATTAAAATGCAGGCTTGAGAAGAAATTGATGCAAATCAGAAGACTACCTACCATTTTATTCAATTAAATATAGATACTACAAAGCGAAGAGTCCTCTAGTATAAAATGATTGATACTAGAAAAGCCTTAAAAGGAAAACTAATATACCAATCTCATCTAAAGACTTGTACGCTACAATATGTGAATGTCTTTTTTTTTGGGTTCAGATAAACTTTAACGACAAGTGAGTTGTGTTCACAAAGGGAAGATCTTGCAATTGCTACTGAGGCAGTGGCTTGCGGAAGACGTGCTAATAGTATCCAGGCTTGTCAGTGGTGGAATAGACAGAAAGAAAAATTAAATCGTTGTCTGATCTGTGAGACTGTAAACAGACAGAGTAGTCTATTTTAACAACCTAAGGGCTTGAGCCAAAGGCTGAAGCTGGCCATACACTGTGCAAAAGCTGTACATACACTGTGTAGAAGCATTGCAAAGTTGTTAAGAATAATGGGCTTTTCCAATTTTACTTTGTGTTTTTTTCACGGGACACTAAAAAAAATTAAAAGAGGGAACACATTTTTTTCAGGTTGCTTTAACTGGCATCATATGTAAACTGAAGGTCACCGAAGCTTCAAAAGGTGAAATTCCAATTTCAGCATTGCCCTATAATGTATTGCTGGGATTGTAATCCTTTATAGCCGGTTGCCATTCCGCATTGCCGTTAAATGTATTACTGGGATTTGTAGTCCTGAGTAGCTGATTATATTCTTGATTGCTGTATTATGTTTTGCTGAGATTTGTAGTCCTCCATAGCTGGTGCCATTCAGCATTGCTGTGATTTGTAGTCCCTCTACAGCTGGGGTTTTAAGATGTGCTGTTCAAGCTCTTTTGAAGAAGCACAAAAACGGCAACGCTGAGGACCGTAGACACAGTGGTCAGCCAAGAAATTTTAATGCAGTAGATGAGACACGTCATGCTTACTGCCCTACGACACCAGAAGATGTCCAGCAGTGCCATCAGCACCCAACTGGCGGAAACCAGTGGGGCTCTGGTACACCCATCTACTGTCCAGAGAAGTCTGGCCATGGTCTTTAAGGAAGAATTGCGGCCAAAAAGCTATACCTCCGATGTGAAAGCAAGGCTAAGCGACTCAACTATGCATGAAAACATAGGACCTGGGGTGCAGAAAAATAGCAGACGGTGGTCTGACCTGATGAGTCAGAATTTGCAAGAGTGAAGCATGGTGCATCCTTGCAAGTATGGGGCTGCATTTCTGCCAACTGAGTTGGAGATTTGGCGAGGACCAATGGTGTACTCAATGCTGAGAAATACAAGCAGATACTTATACATCATGCCATACCATCAGGGAGGCGTGTGATTGGCCCCAAATGTATTCTGCAGCTGGACAACGACCCCATATATACAGCCAATGTCGTTAAGAACTATCTTCAGCGTAAAGAACAACAAGGAGTCCTGGAAGCGATGTTTTTTGCCCCCACAGAGTTCTGATCTCAACATCATCGAATCCGTCTGGCAGCCGACATCCACAGAAGATCTGTGGTTAGTTCTCCAAGATGTTTGGAACAACCTACCTGCCGAGTTTCTTTAAAAACTGTGTGCGACTAGAAGAATTGATGCTGTTTTGAAGGAAAAGGGAGGTCACACCAAATATTGATTTGAATTTCTCTTCTGTTCATTTACTTTCCATTTTTTGTTAATTGATAAAAATAAACTATACACTTTTATTTCTGAAAGTATTCATACTTTACAGCATTTTTTTCACACCTGCCTAAAACCTCTGCACAGTACTGTATGTCCTCGATTTTTTATTTTTTTGCTGGTGCATTGAAGCACACTAAAAAATTGTCGGTTGCTTGGTGCACACTAAAAATTTTTGTTGGTGCTAAAAAATTATTTGTTTACATCTTGCTGCCAGCCGGCAGCTAGATTCCGTGGTCAGCAGCAGAATGAAAACAATGGGGAGAAATGGCCAGCAAGCTATTGGCTATTTCAAGTTGCAATAGCCAATAGCAGGCTGGCTGTTGTTCCTGTCCACTAAGCAGTGGAGAGGACCTGAGAGAGAACTTTGACTCATGTCTGCTCCTCTCTTCAGTGGATGGGGCTTTCCTAAGTCAGCCTGCTATTGGCTATTTCAAATTGCAATAGCCGGCTGAAAGACTCTCTCAGGTCCTTGCCTCTGCTCAGTGGGTGGGGTTTTATTTACCAGCCTGTTATTGCAATTTGAAATAGCCAATAGCAGTCTGGTTATTGCTCCCAGCTGCATACATTCATCTGTAGACTGCGGAAGCTAGATTGGTGATTGCTTGAGAGCTACTATTAACTCTCAAGCAACCAGAAAATACAGGGAGCGGTAGGTGCAGGATAACTGGGAGTTCACTGTATTCTGATTGACGCTATACTGTATGAAATAACTCCATTTTTATTTTATTTTTCTCCGATTTAGTGAAATCAGCCACACTAATAGGGCCCAGTGGCTTTGAAAGAAATATTAAAAATAGATTAAAGTGCTCTGACCATGTGTAACATTTTCAGAATAAAATAAACATCTACATGTATATAATACTGTACATGAGGTCTGTTAGTTACACTAGAGCATCCCACATTTGGACATCTCTCTGATCAGTCACAAGATTTCTCAGAGGAAACAAAAATTGCAGCCATATCTGAACAAACAAAAATCTCTAAATCGAGTCCCGTCATATAGTCTACGTTCATAGAAAATCCTCACTACAAGCATTCTGAAGGGATAAAGCGTGATACAGATGAAAGTAACCGTTAAGCATCAATAGGTTTAGGAAAAGTTCATGGACTATTAAACATGAACACAAGTAACTCACGTGAAAAAGATGGGAACATAGCAACACTTTTATGATCTCACTTTGAATCACATGCACTCAGTAAAAGAAAGGGAGATGAAAATACAATGCCAGTATAGTATTGCCCCTGCATAAAACACTTGCAAGGCAACATAATAAAGAAAACACATAACTTGTTCTCAGCAGAACATGCAACTTGCTCCTGTATAAAGAAGGAACTGTAAAATGCCAGTATAAACCATGGGAGATCCCCAAAAATCCAATGTAAACACGGAATTTCTGAAATTTGGTATGTTATTAGGTTAAATTTAAGATACACAATTTACCTTTAAGTGTGGCTTTCTTTAATACTTTCATTGCATATAGTTGGCCAGCATCGGCTTCTGAGATTTTTCGCACCAGAAAGACCTGTGTTAGCAGATGATACTGTGGTTATTAAAAGTAAACAGAGCAGGGCAAAGATTTATAATCTGACATTATTCTATAGAAGCTAGAAGCCCCTAAGGAGCAGAAGCACAGAAGTTATGTGTATTTCATTTTATCTAATGAATCACAGAACTCTCCCAGGAAAGCAATTCATTTCATTCACACAGCAGGCATGTAAATAGGGGCATGCCTGGCTGGATAGACAACCCATTTTTCAGTATTTTCCCCGGTATGGGTCAGTGTATGACTGATGGCATCCAAAGTAGGTTTCATCTGCCCAGCTTTGTAACCTGAACATATATATGAATTATTCAATGTCAAAATAAGGTTTCTTAAAAGGAGAACTATGAGGTGAGTGATTTCCACTCACCTCATAGTTCTAGCCGACCTGTGACAATGAGACTGTCACAGGTCAGCTCAGTAGATCGGGAGGTGAGCGAACACATACCGGCGTTCGCTCACCTCTCGATCCTGTCACGGCTCTCTACCGTGACAGGGGAGGGGCTGGATTCGCCCCTCCCCACTCAGATCCGCCAGCGCTGACTGGCTGAACGGACGGGGGAGGGGGCGGGTACAGCTGGCTCTGCCTTTAGATAGGCAGAGCCAGCTGTCAGTCACGCAGCTGGGCGGATCCCGGCACAATTGTCGGGATCCGCTTCAGCTGCGGCGTCTCAGTATACCGCGAGCTACAGCCCGTGGTATATTGAGCCTGGGGTGACGGGAGGACGCTAGTTTGTGTCCTCCCGTTACTCTGAGAACCATGGGGAAAAGACTTAACCCCACAGTTCTCCTTTAAGGTTTCCCATTATTAAATCACCTCTGAAGGCACAAATCTCTAAATGGGCCACAGTGATGGAAGAAAAGCAACTAGAGGCACCTAGTTGCTGCTCTTCCTTTTAAATCCTCATGTCTTCTCATGCTGGGGGAGAACTTTCTTTTGCAGCTGAGAAAAAGTCCCCCGTCCCAGCGCGTCGCCGCGTAAACACGCGTCGGGTGCGCCTACGACTGACGCGCTACACATGTTGGGTATCGCCGCGCACGCCGGAGTGAGAGCAATAATTCTAGGGCCAGTATTTTGGGGTATCTCTAAATTGATGACCTGTGGGGGCTTTTAAAGCGTCTATGGACTTTTTGGGGTACTGGGGTTTTTCGCCGTTTTACGGATGCACGCAATTTGTAACCTGGGCATGTTGGGTATCGTTTTACTCGTTGTAACCTCATCTTTTATATTTCATTAAAAAAATGGGTATTTTGTTGTGTTTTGGGGCATTTAATTAAATTTTTCACTAAATATTGGGGTTTAATAAGGAGTTGCGCTAATATTGTGCAACATAAAAATTTGCAACTACCACCATTTTATTCTATAGGGTCTTGGCATTCAGAAAATATATAATGTTGGGGGGTTTTAAGTAATTTTCAGGCCTAAAATGTGGAATATAACATGGGTACAAAAAATGAAAAAAAGGCCTCAGTCATGAAGGGGTTAATGTCACTTGACATGAATGAAAAATTGTGTAAAATGTGTGTAAAACACCAAAAATATGTATGTACAAGGACTGATTCACGCTATACAGATCTGTGGTGTTACTTTGCAATGTATGGGCTGCCAACGCACTACAACAGAAGAATGCACATTACCCTTGTGTAGCAATGCAATGCACCACAACGCAACATATTTGTGTGTTTTCCATTGCATGGTAGCTACAAGTCCATCAAACTGATTTAAAGCTGAACTGTAGGCAGATTTAAAACAACAACAATGAATGCAGTTATGCGTTTATAAAAAGGGCAACATTAAATGCAAAGCCTGCATCTAAATCTATCCTTACATTAGACCAGGGGTGGACAAATTAATATGGAATTTAGGAGCCAGTCTGCCCAATTTAGGAGGCACCAGGATTTATTTTATTTTTAGGAGCCAGCACTACTGACAACTATTGAAAACTTCAAAGTTATGTACCAGCTGTACATTTTAGGGTGCATTGACTACCTGACTTGGGATTTGTCCAGCCTCTTGTAATCTTGAGCACAACAGCAGCTCCCTAGGGATGGAAGGCAAGCACTAGGAGACAGTCAGGCTCTCCAGCAGCAAACATGTGCCGACACAGCAGAATGCCCAATCAGCTGTTAAATTTGTTTGCAAATGTTATTAATAGTTCAGAGGTTGATACATTTCCCCAGAAAAGGTGGGAACCTTAGCTGGCAGAATATGCTGACAGGACAGAGGAGGATAAAAAGGATGACATCACCAGTGTGCTGCTTAGTCCACTTTCAGTCAATCAGCAAACTGGGCATGGTCCAGGTCCAGCTTAATGTGAAATTGACTGTCAGGGGTACCTGCATAACAAGGTGGAAGAGAATATACACACACTGTTGTAAATGTGTAATTAGATGCTGGGTTGGAGTTCACTTTGAAGTAAAGCTATTTTGTGCAGCAATCCATATTCTGTTGAAAAGTATGCTAAAACAAAGAAGGTAACGAGAACTAATTATGGTATTGATATGTAAAAGCACAAAGAGCTTTTAAGACAAAATCAAGGGGGATTCTGTGGGTAGAAAAAAAGCTAAGTGTACTACTCCTTCCCCTGTGCGGAGTCCTCCACCTCTCTTGTACATACTGTATGCTGCCTAATGCAGAACAAAGAGACCCCAGATTGCCTGTGATTTTATCACTAAACTCATTAAAGAAGTTGAGTACATAATAATAAAAACCTGGAGATGTTTCACAATGCAAAAATGACAGAATCTCTAGCTCTAGGTGAACATCCTAAATACCTAGAGACTCCCATAAATCACACAAACCACATCAAAGTTTCTGGCTATTATATAGCTGCGAACAAGCGGAATCCGTGAAAAAAATAATAATAAAAATCACGCTTCGACTATTTTGCGGTAAATGTCGGAACAACGCACATTTAAAGTGCATTGTTTTTCTTGTTTAGAACGGCTACCCGCATATTCGGACGGCTGAATACGTGCGGACTACTGCTCCAGTGTGAATGGAGCCTCAGGGATACACTTAAATCAGTGTCAGATTTAAAAGCAACAAATACAACATATTTTGTTGCTTTGACTTGCTCTTGAGCTACCGTATTTGCCGGTGTATAAGACGACCCCCTACTTTTTATGTGAAAATATAGGTGTTGGGCTATACTCCTCGTATAAGACAAGTATAGCCCAAAATAATGTTTAAATGCACCCATTAACCTCCATGGCGGTATTCCCGAGTGTGGCTCGGGGTTAATTTTCAGTACCATAAGTGGTAACCCCGAGCCACACTCGGGATTACAGTCTCTTACCTTGTCCATGATCCCCACAGTGTCCTGCAGCTACATACAGTATACCACGCCGAGCCAATCACGGCAGGCTTTGTATTCATTAATACAGGCTTTGTATTAATGAATACAAAGCCTGCCCTGATTGGCTCAGCGCGGTATACTGTATGTAGCCGGCGTATAAGACGACCCCCGATTTTCGGGCAGTGTTTTTGGGTCTAAATACCCGTCTTATACGGTACTTCTTATTAGCTTCTTTTTAATTCACATTGACTTTTATGGCCTTGACTTGTATGTAATGCCTATTTACACAAGCCCTTAACTACTCACCTTTCCAAATGAGCCCTGTCCGAGTACCTTGAGCAGCTCAAACTGTGATGGGTCAGCCTTCTCATGTCCCTCCTTTACATGGTGCGTGATTGCAATCTCATTTATATGTGCTTCATCCTAGAAAGGAGAAAAAAAATAAAATGTTGAACACTTTTGCGATAAATATATCTAACATGTTAAAAAGAGGAATATTTATTCCTTATAAACATGATTTTAAAAAGTGTAAGTCTTGCATGCTCAGATTTTTCAGAGACCATTCTTTCCTTCAATTTTTGTAAGAATCGTCAAATATGTCATAATACCTTCAGCTCTTCATACACACACACACACTTTAGTTCCCAAATACAGATTCCTAAAGCCCAACAAGTACTTCATGATATAACAAAAAGGAAGAGCAAAAGAAAAGGGATTTACAGACCACCCCTAAGCTTCAAAGATTTTTTTTTTTTTTAGCAACCCTTTGTTAAGTGTTAGTTTTGGTCTAGGTTAAACATTTCATTATTCATTCATAACCTGTGGATACAGTACGAGTTACTATGTCCACAATCATGAATGAACAGGAAGTGATGTAGAGCGCTTCCTATTAATTCATAACTGGTACATAGTAACTCGTACTATATCCAGTTATTTACAAACATTCAGCGATCAGCTGATCGCTGAATGTTTGTACTACGATCTCCATCCTGAATCGGCTGTCACAGGAGGCAGAGCAAGGCGGTGTGGGAGGAGTGCTTTTCCCCATAGTTCTCTTAAGGGTCACGGAAGGACACATACTAGCCTCCTCCCATGAACCAAAGGCTCAGTATATTGCGAGCTACAGCTCGTGGTACACTGAGACCGCCGCAGCTGGGACGGATCCCGACAATGCTGACGAGATCCACACAGCTGCGTGAATGACAGCTGGCTCTGCCTATCTAGCGGCAGAGCCAGCTGTACCCACCCCCTCCCCCGTCCGTTCCTCCAGTCAGCGCTGGAGGATGAGAGAGAGGAGGGGAGGAATCCTTGCGGGGAGCGTTGACTGACAGTATATACACACACACAGGGCTTGAAAAATCCACTCGTCTGTGACGAGAGGACGGTGGAGCCCGACGAGCAGCTTCCCGGCCGGCCGTTGTAATTACACGGCCGGCCGGGAGCTTAACACAGTCAAGCGATCGAGCGTCTCTAATCGCTCATTCTGGAGAGCGATTAGTTACCAAATTGCTCTTACCCCTGATTGCCCAGATCACCCTATTTTTGTACATGAATCAGTGTGGATTGTTGTACATTAACAAAAAATAACACCTACCCCGAAAATAAGACCTAGTGTGTTTTTTTGAGCCAAACAAAATATAAGACAGTGTCTTATTTTCGGGGAAACACGGTAGTAAAAAATAAAATAACCCCCCGTGGGGTCACAAAAGAAAGCTCTATCTGTCCCCAAAATTTTTTTACTTGCAAGGCTATAGTCCGGTCATGCTGAAATTTTTGACTGGCTGGTAAGACGCCGTCAAATTTTTCAAGATATCTATATCTATATATAGATCTATATAGATCTATATATCTATCTCTATCTATCGATCTAGATCTATATATACACACACATATACATACATATACATACATACATACATATACACCGAGAAAGGGAATGAAAAAGCCACAATCAAATAGAAATGGCTTCACTGTCAGACTACAAACTACAATCCGCACTGTTTTCTGTTTGCTATGTGAATCAAAAGGGTGAATCATCATCATAATTTTCTTTTTTGGAAGCAGCAATATAACTTTGGATTATTTTCATCTCGAGTATATTGCATGGAATTTAACAACAATTTTGGAAATTCTTGTCTAAGGTCACTTGTGTCAAGCTACATGCACAGTCTTCAGAAGGCACGACTTTCAATGCAGAAATAGGATTTTCATTTATGTAGAAGCCCTGCAGAGCACAGCTTGGACCTTTCACTGGTGCTGGACAACATTCAGGTTATTATAGGAAGAAAATTGGATTTTTGTACTTACAATAAAATCTATTTCACTGGCAAACAAAAAACTTGTGGGCCAGCCCAGTATAACCCCCTCCTACTCCTTTTCTTCTAAAGCCAAGACAGGAGTACCAAGAGCATGATCAAAAACAGGGGGGTGTCAAATTCCCATGGAAAACCGGGATTGTGAATGGTGCCCAGTAAGCAAAAGAATGAGGTAGCTGCCGATGCTTGGCCCACACAATCTGCTCAGAAAGTAAGTCTCCAGGAAAAGGGTCCCCCAGTGGCTGCGCACTACTCTGGCCACAGAAAGTGCAAAAACGCAGTCTTGCAATTTCCCAGTCCAGCAGGTGGTTCTGGGTACAGCCTTCAAAGCTGCCCCTGAAGATATACCAATCTGGATAGCCTATATGTAGAGACTAGCTAAAGCAAAAAGTAAAAGGAGGCTTGATTAAAAGGCAAAAAAAAAAAAAAAGACTTTCCTCAGCAGAGCAGGAAAGAAAAAAAAAAAAAGGCATCCAACCTCTTGGACACTGGCAAAAAAACACATGAGGCATGCTGAGTAGGGGGGGTTATAGCGGGCTGGCCCAGAGATTTTTTTTAAAGTGTCCCACGCTCCTGTAGGTGGCACCATAACTCAGTCAATTAATTCCTGTGTCCCTCACTGAACGAGAAAAACATGCATGCAATGGCTAGTAACAGGGTAGACTTTTCTCAGCAGGGCAGGAAAAAAGGCATCCAACCTCTTGGACACTAGGCATGCAAATAGGAGGGGTTCTAGTGGGCTGGCCAACTCTCCTGTAGGTGGCAGTAAATCTCATCAATGATTTCCCATGTCTCTCAATGGATGAGAAAGTAACATGCATTCCTTCAAGTTTTTAAATTTTATGTAGAGGTTATACTGAGCTACCCACAAGTTTTTTGTTTAGTCGTGTCTATTCATGTAGGCAGCGATATAACTAGGCAATCAGTTGAATTCCTGTGCCCCTTAATATACAAGAAAGAAACATGCTTTCCTGCAACTTTCATAATAAACATCTCTTAACTGGCAGTGTTAAAATGGAGAGACTGCAATCTATAACTGAGCCTAATGACAAGAATTAGGAGTATCGACTTATGACCCCAAAGTCTGAGATCTTGTATGACTGGATCTCCTCCAGTAAAAAAAAAAAAAAATCAATGTAAAAGGAAAGCCATTTACAGTCAGAACTAAGCGGAAGCAGAATTAGTCACTATCTGCTCATTAATTTACAATATAACTGATTAGTCAGAAACACCAGATTGCCAACATGTTACTAAGCCCACCTTTCTCTTTCTTTGTGTGGTGCAGTAACACTGCTGAGCCTTTTCATTTAGTCACGTCTACCCTTATGATATGCAATGCCTGTCATCATTTGTTCCTTGCATAGATTTAAAGTTAAACTCCAAGCACAACAAATCTTTGACAACTAATTAGATCATTAGGTATACCTTTCATATATCATGACCGTTTTTTATCTTGATGTGTTTTTCAGTGCTCCATAATATAGAGGGATTGAAGTTTTTTTTTCTTCCTAAACAGACCCCTATCCCCCAGTGAAGACAACCAGACACCATGGCCTCCTTCCTATCAGCAGGGAAATCTGTTCCTTCTTCACTCCATTGACACTGAAGTACGTCAGCTTGGCCTGCAATAGACACAGACTGGCAGTAGCAGCCAGAGGTGCATACATAGATTATCGCCACTCAGCTCCATTTTAATCTAAAAACCTCGGCCCCCACCAGCCAATTTTGCTTTGTATCATCTTGGGCAAGGCAATCATAAAGCTGCAGTGGTGACATGGGAGTTGAGCGGGTAATTCCATTTTCCCAAATTACTTGGGAAAGTGAACTTACCTTTTAATGCGTATTGGAGTGTGCTGTGGCCCAGCTACCACAATATAGCACACAGTGGAATGGGGGCAGCACACACAAAGCCCTACGCATGTGTCCCGGGCTTTGGGCGATAGGAATTGCAAAGCCCCGATAGATGGACAGCTGCTGGAGACTGCAATGTCCCTTGTGATCTTACACTAAACAGGAAGTTCAAGGAAGGGGAGCTGACAGATGGAGCCAGCTGTTTGGAAACATGATGACTAAGTGCTTGGGCACAAATAAAGAAATACCTTTCCGAGCAATGCATATTTGTGTGATCTGGATTCACTGTTGAAAAAGTATTACTTTAACCACCTGCTGTCCAGCCGCTGTAAGTAAACGGCTGGACATCGGCTTCTTGAATGCGGGTGGGTGTTTTTAAACATCCCAACACGCCCCGCTTGTGCCAGCCGCTAGGCCACGCGCACGAACGGGAAATCGGCTTTGAATGTAAACAGCCAGCAATGGCTGTTTACATACAAGTGTTCAGGCGAATGTAGAGATGCCCGATCGCTTGTAATATGCTTGCGGGTGTGCGCCCCCCCTCCGTCACAGCCGCTCCTGGCGATCCTGAGCTCCGCTGTGCCCGGGACCAGCACAGCAGCTCTGCGGCCGGAGATCAGTACACGATCTCCGTTTGATCTCCTTGTCGGGATGTATTGCATCACTTCCGCATTCCTCTGCCACTCTACGGTACAGAAACCGGAGAGAAGCTGGTGAAGCAGGTCTCTGCTTCATCAACTTCTCTGGGGGTCCCTAGGTGACATTAGGAGTCTTAAAGACCCCTAATGTATCCATAAAGAGGACCTGTCACTGCAAATTGTCTATCACATAGGGAGCTTGTTTGCCCCCTATGTGATAGCAATAAAGTTAAGTGGAAAAAAAAAGTTTAAAAAAAATTAACATTACAAAAAAAATTAAAAACATTAAGTCACATATCAAAGCAATAGTCCCCCGTCCCCACATGCGTCTAGTCCCCCTATGTGCGAAAACGACGATTACATCCATTGCGCCGCACGTTACATTACGCCGCGAACGTTGGAGTGAGAGCAATAATTCTAGGGCCATTAATCACTGCTAACACTAAACTGATGAGCGGTAAAAGCTTTTAAAGCGTCGGCTATGGTCAAATTTGGGTATGGTCATTTTTTTTGCGATTTAGCAGGTGCTCGCAATTTTAAAGCTTGACATTTTTGGTGTCTATTCACCCGACGTGACCCTGTCTTTTATATTTTACCAAATAACTGGGTAATAATAAAT